CGATAACGTTGTCTCTTAGCTCGCTACGAAGACTCTAAAGGTATATCTTAACTAAAGGTATACCTGTTCTAGGCGTGTTCCCCGAACTATACCTTAGGATGTTGCTTAAGGTAAACCTTCTTACGTGCGATGTTAGCAGGTACTGTCCATGGCGGTGGTGCTGAATAGGTTGATATCGATGGCTCGAGAATCGATTGTTCAATACAGGAGCTCTTTCACTGCGTTATAGAGCGGGTAAAGTGATGTTCATTATAAAGAAACACTTTAGAAATATTAGAAATTGCATTTATCGGGGCTCACTGCATTTATAAAATAATCCAAATTTCAAACTAAATGCAACCTTGGATATCACACACACACACACATATACAGTATATATGTGTGTGTGTGTGTGTTTATGTATATGTATAATTTTGCAAGTGTGCGAACCTGCAACCTCATGGCCAAAAGTATTCTGCCTTAGTCAGCTACATTAACTGGCTTTTAGGCTTCGCTTGCTTTTGAAAGAGTCATTTATATTATCATGTTCATATATATTATGAAGGCCTGGTCGAGCGCTGATGGGTTGGCGATGGCGATAAGTGTCCCGTCCACAAGGCCAATTAGTCACCGGGTTTGCATAAAAACACTCAATTTATTGAACACTAACTGAACACTGGGTGTATTGCAACTTTAGAATTGTAATATTTACTTGGTTCTGCACTTTTTCTTGCCACAGAATTACAATCGTATCGACTGAAATGTGAAGAAGGTTTTTGCACAGTGGTGGCCACTAGCGGAGTGAACTGTGAACAGCGATAATGTATAGCTAAGACTGGTCCAGACTAACCTTACGAACGAATGACTTACAGAAGGTATACTTAACTAAGAACGTTTCGGGAAACACGTATTAACGTAAAGGTACAACTTAAGGTATAACTTACGAACGACGTAGCGTTAAGAAGGTTTCGGGAAACGCAGCCCTGAAACGTATGTAAGCATGCTTGTTCCACAGACAATCATTCTGGCTCTGTTTTCACTGAATGATGTTCTGCTCTGTCGCCACGTCACGTTAATATCAACATTTGTAGATAGATTCGATTTGTGTCTCACTGCACAATCATTTATAGAAATCGCTCTGGTTGATTTTATCATTGGGATCAACACAGTGGGAGTGATGCTAATCATCTCAACCCCTACCTAGTGGATATTCATGTTAAATAGTTTAGAACAGTGCTATTATAGGTTAACTAAAACTAAAATTATTAAAATGTTTTCATTATTGAAATAAAGTTTTAATAATATCAAATATACATATTATATGGAAAAACTTAAATGTAAAAGTTTTACTGAAATCTAAAATAAAATATAAATATTGAGACCGGTCTCATGAAAATGCGTATAAATAGTACGCCAAATAAAAACGAAAACTCGTGGTATTGATACGCAAAAATGGACTTTGGCGTGCATATGATACGCATGTGTTTGGCGTGCATATAATACGCAGTTTACGCGTGCATATGATACGAAATTTGTTGCCGTGCATATGATACGCAGTTTTCGCGTACATATGATAAGTGATAATGGACAGACAACACCAAATAAGACTGACACACACAGAGCGCTTGCTGAATGACAGAAAGCTGACGCCGGTTTCACCGCACGTGCTTTTATACTTCCTGGTCGCTACGTCACCCCGCCCGTGACGTCTCGCCCATCCATTGGACTGATTACACATGTGATTCAGAGCGTGGTCACGCTGGAGGCGTTCCCGTAGCGTTTCGACGCAGCTCGAGTTCCTGAAGGGGAACTGAACTGAAATAAAAAAATAAATTTGTAAAAGAAACATATGTGTGGAATAAAAACTAACAACAATTCCAAAAGCACAAAACAAAATTACTACAATTATCTAAAATAAAAATGAGGACTGAAAATTCAAAATATTAATAAATACTATATAATAATAACTACTATAGTAATACATAATTGATACTAAAACAACACTGATCTAAAATATCAGCCATAAAATGAAAATGATTATCGAACAGAATTACAAATTGACCTCACTACAAATTATTGCATCAAATTAATGTGAAGAATTCATTAATTCAAAGTACGATGCTTAAAATGTTTTCCAGGAAATGTTGACAGAGGAATGAATCTGTGTGCTTTAAATTAAACAACGAGGACAAAACATGGACAAACTCTCACACACACACACACACACACAGTCTGGTCAGCTATCCTTGTGGGGACACACACACACACGCACACACTCACACTCACACACACACACACACACACACACACGTTGCCTCGGAGAGATACACACTCTTGTTCTTTTGCGCGCCTGTCATTGCATTAGTCGGCGGCTGCCTCTCCGTGACATTTGCTTGATGAGGATTTCATTATGGCTGTGGGGTTTCGGCATTCCTTTAACAGCATAATGATCCCGCACGGACGACTGTCAATGAAGATCAGGGTTAAAGAACACGTAATTCCATTCTGTCATTTCCCCGTTACCTTTTAATAAAACATGAGTAGATTGGATGAATCATCTACGGTATGATTCTGTCTTCGGCCTGCATTAGTCTTGCATTTTCATTGTAATTGCAGGCTGTTTTGATGTCCTTCCTATCTGTGCTTGAACTATTTTGATTCTGAACGAACGCTGTGTTTTGAAACATCTCTCTGGACTTGCTCTGGGTGGCCGCTGACGTGTGTAGGTTTATACACTGCCATACGAACTCATCCATCAAATGCATGCGCGGCTGAAAGCAAAAACAAGCTCCAGTAAAATGAGAACATCTGCTGCTACATTGTGTGTTAAAGCAACTTCCCTGTATTCAACATCACTGTCGGTTTATAGCAACAATTCCCTGGTTTTCCATCGACCATAGTTCACCCAAAAATGAAAACTTGCTGAGAATGTCCTCACCCTCAGACCATCAGAGTTTGTTTCTTCATCAGATTTGGAGAAATGTAGCATTGCATCACTTGCTCACCAATGGATCCTCTGCAGTGAATGGGTGCCGTCAGAATGAGAATGCAACATTTCTCCAAATCTGATGAAGAAACACTAATTTACATCTTGAATGAACTGAGGGTGAGGACATTTTCAGCAAATTTTCATTTTTGCATTAATCCAAATGAGAATTTTCACACACAATTCTCATTATTGTAAAGGCCAAAAAGATGTTTATAATATTTAAATTGTTATTTATAAATTACAGATATGTTTATTGTGTTACCATTAATTTATGCAAATTTTAATAAAAAAAAATAATTTATTATATAATTTTATAAAGGTATTATAGTAATGATAATCACCATGGAGAACAATGAGAATTACAAAACAAACAAATAAGGATAAATAAAATAATAAATAAGGATGCTTAACAGAGATGAGAATGAAAATTTGGAACCAAAATATGTTTAATTGTTATTAAAATAAGGTCAACATGAAAAATAAAAAAAAAAGGTTCTAAAAAACAAACAAACAAACAAAAAACAATCACTGTCTATCGTTATTTATTTTATTTATTTTTCCTTTTCTTTTGAGTTTGGGCTAAAATGTGACCTGGACATATTTTTAGTGCAATTTATCGTCCAGTATGCAATCTTTTGTGGCCCACAAAGTCACCCCAGAAACCTTTGAAAAACTGTAAATATTTATTGATTAATTCAATTGTATTTTAGCCATACATCTGCATTTTTGGGTGGACATTTAAGGGTGCTGGTTCAGGGAAAAACACGACCACTGCACCCCGTCTCTAGTTCATCATCCTCAACCCAACACAGAATGATCAAAAACCAATCAAATCACCCAAAGGAAAGCAATCTGGAAATGTCTCGGTACACGTACAAATCATCGGTGAACATGTATATCTTGGGATATTTAAACAATAATGGATAAAGAACCTGTCAGATGGCCTCGTTTGTTTCTTGTCGTGTATTGTGCCATGTTGTCTTGTCTTTCAAAACTCCCCTTGAAAACAGATTCAATGCCGAACGCAACATTCACAAAAAAATTTCTGGATAATTAGTTGAAAAGCAACACAACACACAAAAGGTATGACAAGACAAAACCAATGCTCACAAAACCCGTCAAAGAGTCATATTTCACTCCAAAATCTAAAGAAAGAAATATTCAATTATACTTTGCTGAAAGTAAACGAAGCCTATTTATACGGTAACATAATTTTTTATGACAATTAAGCACATTTTCCCCAAATTTTTATTACTGCAATAAAAACTGCAGTAATTTAACTATATTACAGTCCAGAGAATCTTACTGAGAATAGTGAAAAATACATAAAAGTGAAACATCTAGATGCATTACAGTAATTTTGGAGGCAAAACGCTTAATCGCCATAAACACAATTAAAACAGACTTCATCTTCTTCATGCAAAATGTCATTTCTTATTTTATTCTCTTGATTTGGGGGTGAAGCGTGATTTTGACATGTTGTGAGATTCGCCCCAACAGCCGTTACTTTTCTCCAGCAGAAACAATTCGTATTTTACAAAAAGAGTTTCTAAAAAATAAATACAAAGATTTTCAAGACTGATTTACTGTCACTGATACTCTCAGCGATCCCACCCCAACTCATTTTTTTTTTTTTAGTTTTAGTTTTTTAGCCACAGGATATTCAGTCCTTGTCTGTCACCCTGACGAATTAATCAGAACATTGTCCATTTTTGTATTTCAGTCCATTGCCAGGATGAATAAATAAATAAATAGAAAGCAATAAATACATAAATATCGTTTTACTTTTTTTTTTTTGTTTGTTCGTTTTTCTTTAAATAAATACATATTTATTTAAGGTTCTTTTTAAATGTTGGTGATTAAAAAGTCTTTCCATTGAATCCGTCTGGATCCTGATGACTTAAAGTCATTTATCTCCACAGATGGGCAAAGAAATCACCAAAAAAAGAGCAAAGAATGAGTGTTTTTCATGGTTTATATGGCACGGCCCCGTTCCTCTTGCTCTCGCTGACAGGTGAGATGTTGGAGGTTTGCCCAGCACCCGGCCTAGTTGTTTTTCTCCTTCAATATTTGTCCTGAACTTTTCTACAAGATGAGAAGTCACTTTACAAAGTGTAACGGGTGACATTAAAACTCTCCAGACTGACTGGGATCCAAACTGGGAACTGCAGGGAGAAAAAAATGACGGGATGCTGTTCACAGGATGGTGCTAGGACCCTTCTTCCTCAGGTTGGGCCGGGGCGTAGTATCCCGCCAGCTGCCTGAAGCGCGGCCCCCAGTCGCTGAGGTACGAGAAGTCCTGCTCCGAGGGGGTAGACAGCGTATGGATGGAGCTTAGCGAGAGAGCCGGCGAGCTGCTGCCCTCGAAAGCGTAAGTCTGGAACGAGTCGTACGGCGGCACCGACAAGTCCGCGTCCGCCTGCTCCACCTTCTTGCGTATGTAGCCTTTGAAAACCGAGAAGTCAGCCGGGCCGCCATCTCCAACCACTCTGTTCTGGATCCACTGCGGGACCGGGCGCAGGTCGGGGCCCGAATCTGAGTTTTTGACCTCGGGGAAGTCGTAGAGGCTGCGCAGGGCACTCATGTCATACGCCTGGGTGTCCTGCTCGCCGCCACCCTCGTCGTTGTATTTGATGACGTTGTCGCGCATGTCCTCCTCGTCTTCAGACATGAGCTGGCCCTTCCTGTGACGCTTGAGGGTCAAGATCAGCAGCACCAGGACTAAAGGAACAACGAGAGACAAACAAGACTATAAGATTAGAATAGACATCATGCTATGAATAATCTAATCTTCCTTGATCTTTTGAAATGAAAAAGATCAAAAAGAGAATTAAAAGTGACAGTAAAGACATTTATAATGTTACATACTAGGGATGCACCGATACCGATACTGGTATCAGTATCGGTATCGGGCCCGATACTGCTCTCCTGTACTTGTACTCATACTCGTAAAAATAAAACCCCAATACCAAAAGCCGATACCAAACAGCGTGTGAATAGAGCGGTGTCCAGAAAAAGAAACACTGAAAACAGAACAACAAAGAGTAGAATGGAGTTATTAGAGATTAAGGATGTCTATGAAGTACATGTAAGTAATTAATATAATGTTAAACATTCAATAGTCACGCCTGTATAGCAGATGTGCCCGAGTTGATAAGCAGAGCGTGCTGAGTGGATTGAGCACGCGGCTGCACAGATGCGCGAGCTTGTCGAGTGAATATCTCACAGACATCACTGGAAAGTTTGTAGTTCGGTCGGATATGTCAAAAACAAGTAAGTAAAACAATGCACAAGTTACTAAAGTTATTTGACGGTAAGGAGAGCGAGAGAGAGAGTCTGAGAGCGCACACTTCTGTTGCATGATCTTGATTGCAGTTCGCTCCATTAGCGCATGCATTTGGATTAAAACAAAATCGTAAATATAAAACAAACAAAAATTATAGGAGCATTCACTATAAACTTTATTTTAAACGTCAAGCATACACAACTTTATTTAAAGCAGAAGTGAAACTAGCAGACTGGGTGAAATGCGCTAGGCTGTAAGTGTCTCTCTCGTTCTGCACCAATACAAACGTGTGCACGCTGCGTATGTTTAGCTTGCTTTAAGGCCAAAGTATACTTCGGTTTTTACTCGTACGCGAGGGTCCGTGTACACTGCGCGTGACGCAAATTACATCACCAAAATAGTACGCGTGCACTCGTATAATGTATAACGAGTGGTTCCCTGCATTATTTTAGGAAAACGTTTTGTGATTACAGTATTGAGCTGCTGCAATGGAGCAGCTCTAATGCGCCATTAAAATGAAGATTGAAAGTAACAAAAGCTTATACAATACATTTTAACAGGTAGAATTAAGTGTGGAAATAACTGAAGGTAATATCTGTTTGCTAAATGAAGCCAGCTAACATGATTCATATTATTATTACTATTATTTTGTTTCAGTACCCAATATTTTAAAAAATTACAAATGCTCTGAAAATACAGGTATCGGTATCGGCGAGTACCAAAAATTAAAGTATCGTATCGGACTAGTTCTGAAAAAAGTGGTATCGGTGCATCCCTATTACATACAATTTCAAATGTCAAATAAACGCTGTTCTTTTGAATCCATCTACTTGGAAAAAAAATGCATTAAAATGCAAAAAAAAAAAAAAATTCCATGGTTTTCACAGTTCAAGACCCCTTTAAATCTCTAATGTCAGCCAGTAACTGATATGGTATTGATATATTGTCTATCCCCGTCTCACTGCGTATGTTTAGCTTGCTTTAAGGCCAAAGTAAACTTCGGTTTTTACTCGTACGCGAGGGTCCGTGTACACTGCGCGTGACGCAAATTACATCACCAAAATAGTATGCGTGCACTCGTATAATGTATAACGAGTGGTTCCCTGCATTATTTTAGGAAAACGTTTTGTGATTACAGTATTGAGCTGCTGCAATGGAGCAGCTCTAATGCGCCATTAAAATGAAGATTGAAAGTAACAAAAGCTTATACAATACATTTTAACAGGTAGAATTAAGTGTGGAAATAACTGAAGGTAATATCTGTTTGCTAAATGAAGCCAGCTAACATGATTCATATTATTATTACTATTATTTTGTTTCAGTACCCAATATTTTAAAAAATTACAAATGCTCTGAAAATACAGGTATCGGTATCGGCGAGTACCAAAAATTAAAGTATCGTATCGGACTAGTTCTGAAAAAAGTGGTATCGGTGCATCCCTATTACATACAATTTCAAATGTCAAATAAACGCTGTTCTTTTGAATCCATCTACTTGGAAAAAAAATGCATTAAAATGCAAAAAAAAAAAAAAATTTCCATGGTTTTCACACATATATGAAGCACCACGACACAGTTTTCAACATGGATAATAATCAGAAATGTTTCTTGAGCAGCAAATCAGCATATTAGAATGATTTCTGAAGATCATGTGACACTGAAGACTGGAGTAATGATGCTGAAAATTCAGCTGCGCATCACAGGAATAAATTACATTTTAATATATAATCACATTGAAAACAGTTATTTTAAATTGTGATAATATTTCACAATATTGCTGTTTTTATTGTATTTTTGATCAAATAAATGCATCCTTGGCAAGCATAAGAGATGTCTTTCAAAAGCACTAAAAAAGAAAGATACATTGTGGAAATAAAATGATTTGCAAATACCATTTCTTGACTTTAACCTCACAATGCAAATATGAAGAAAGTAAACTAAATTAACCTCTGAATCTCAGGAAAAAAATATAATGTTAAAGGGGAGCTTTGTTAACATATGCCACAACATCACTTTTCATGAGAAAGTATGACAATTAATACAGTTTATTTCAAATATGCAAAGCCTGCGCAGGTGTCACGCATTACAGTTTCCAAGAAAATTACTTATTAGAAAACTAAATTGTTTCAAACAGGAAAAAGAAAATCCATTAACCTCAAATTGACTCTTCAGTAAACAACTGAGCCGCTTCTTGTACAGCAGAAGTCAACTTTCCTCAGCGGATCACACAACAACACCAGGAGGATATTAACAAACCCAACCTGGCAACGCTATGCAGCGAGGGAACATATTACAAACAGCATCTTAATTTTAATGAGAGACTTGCCCTTTTTGTAGCATTTCAACTAATGCATCATGAGAACAACGCTTGACAACATAATCTCACAGCAATTTCTATTAGAATTGACCCTTTGCTAAGCTCCGCCCCTCTTGGTTACTGCTGCTTACATTAGATTGAACTGAATGATGTCATTTTTGCTAAAATGTGCTTAATATCCAGTCAATAGTATAATAAACTCACTGGATATTATTCCTTCTGTGAAAAATCCATTAGAAAGAGGATAAACTTTTCAAATAATTACACACACAGCAACAGCTGCTAAGCCAGGATTGGTCAATAGCATTTTAAGGCGGAGCTTGGTGAAGTCAAACGACTGCATTATTCATGAGCATTCGAGACTGGTTATTAAGTGATATATCTGCCATCCTAATGTCTTCATTCACTAACAATATGTGATTGAGAAGAGAAATGCAGAAAGGATTACAAATAAATGAGACGTTCACAAAGCTTCGCCGCAAGGTGCAGCGCAGATATGAATGAGGAATTAAACGTGAACTGAAAAGGCAAACAATGGATCATTTAATAAATTAATGAGTCAGAAAACAAAAGCCGCATCCCTCTCAATAAATCAATGAACCCTTAATCTCAGCTGAATTATGTTAATTAGCATCTGCATTTGTGATTGTATAGCGTCTTTCTTGCGTTTCATCTGTCAGTGTTGATTAAATAAACACAGAACCGCCGGAAAAAAATCACTGCAGCATTTACAGACTCTTTTCGGTCGTAAAAAGCCAACCAATTCCAATTTGGGGAACGTTGATGTATTTAATATGGATATCTGGTTAGTGAAAAAAACGTCTGTCCTAATTCCATCCATGCACCTGTTTTAAGCCCTAAAACTGGAGACAAAAGCAGCGATTTAGCAATGTAGGTTACTACACTATAGGAGGTTTTGTGACTGACTGTTCAAAAGTAAGTTGCACGCACAAACTCAACACCCAAGTTATTAAACTTCATGCATCCATGCATTTGCACCATGGAAATGATTTATACCTAAAATCATGCTGTTACTTTTCTAAGTGAGTGGGTTTATGATTTTCGGGCCCAACAGACCAGAATAAAATCTAGAGATCAGAATATCACAGAGAACACTCTTCACGTTT